TTTCTTCCTCTCTTCTAGCATGAACGTCCGTAAGCACATTGTCAGTCTTAGCAATAACACTCCAAGGTTCCTGTTTTAATCTTTGAGCACATGCTCCACCCAATTTCTTGCTCCTTTTTTCTTTGTCTGCTCTGCTCTTAAACACGAGATGCCGGGGCCCCTTTCAACCACTACCGATGACTCCAGCACGACCACCACCGCGTTCCATTGGTATGTCATCTTGTTCGTTATCTCCGCATGGCGCATGGCGCACTTCCACCCGTTTGCACAACAACGGGTGTGTCACCAACGCGTGGTCAATTCCGGTGCCCACCGTCTTCGCCCTTGCGTGGAAGGTGTGCTCCCTCTTAACCGGCGCATGAAACAAAATGTGTCGGTGAGCGGAGTGCTCGCCCAGTAAGTCAACAGCCTCCGTTTCTCCGCCGATGACCCCACACCTCTGGAGTTGTCCAGTGCTGGGTCGTCCACAATGTTCAGGTCCCCCATCACAAAGGCATTCGGTAAATTTGGTAAGGTACTATGGAACGGCCCTAGACAGTCCCTGTCAATAGGCCCCTTGTTATCTGGTTGCGCCGGTAAGAACATCGCTACGAGGAGCAGCTCCAAATCGCCCTATCTAATTACCACCCCGACCAGCCTCCCTGAGTCATGTATGAACGTATCCGTAAAAGACATGCCGGGCACAAAGCTCAGCACCGCCACACCCCCTGCCGATCCTGCCGGCCCCACGGGAGCCACCGCAGTTAGCTTAGCTTGTGTTCAGAAATTGTGGTCGGCATGAATCGGTGCGTCAGTGAGTATTACAATGTCCGCTTTGTTCCTTAACAGATTTCTGCACTTGATCTGCTTCCCTGAGCTGCCGAGCCCGTCGATGTTAAGCTTGCAGAAGGTGATTGAGTTCCTCTTATTCATTAAACAATAGGTAAGAAGCCCCTTGCATCCACGGGCTAAGGAAAGGCACACAACTCTTGAAACATGTACACTGCTGTCGCTGGCCGCACCACATAACCGCACAGCACTACATTGACTGCTGCTACCACTACTGCAAAGCCGGACAGAGACATGTTCTCCCTCTTCTTCTTGCCTTTCAGCAGATGTGGACCACCAGGCTGACTTGCTCAGCACTCCCTTCCAGCAGGTTATCTGGTGAATTTCGTACGAAGCGTGGCTAGGCTGATTGCTCCCTTGCAGGCGCACCCGGCTTCGTCAAGTTGGTCTTGTGACGGAGTGATGCAACATGAATCGACGCCTGCTCGAAGCTGGTTCCTTGAGCTTTGTTACAAGCAAAATCCACGCACACCCAGTCCTCCCGTGACCCCCCTGTAGAGGTGAGAACCAGAACGGGGTCTTTGAGAACATCTTTCAGTTGCGCTGTAACTTTGATCGAGGCGGCTGTAGGAGGAGAGTCAGTAGACTGCATAAAGGAGAGGAAAGGCAGTAAAATCGAGGACAGTGGTAGCCCTGCATGGATACCGTTTATCTCATGGACCTTCTTGAAGGTCAGGGTCCATTCGCCGAAGTTGGTCTGCCGCTCCGAACATATGCATTATGATACTGCGTCATGTGCCGTCCATTGCATAGATCACACGTAAGCGCAGGGATTAGCACAAGCAGCTTCCTCACAGGATTCGACAAGTCTGTAATAGCGTGATGCCATGGGGACTCGTCATTGTCATGCGGGAACACCAAGCCTTGCAACTTATCAGTATCCATCCCAATGATGGGGTCTTGCACTCTGTGAAAACCCACACCTATGTTAGAATCAGTTTTCCCTTTCTTAAGCAGGGGAACTCTGGCCAACATCTTGCATATTAGCTCAAGGGAAACACCAGCCAAAACTGACTTAAGCACCACCTCCACCGCATCTGGGTTCATCTGACGCTCGCGCTTATAAAATGCATTTCGCGGTTGTTGCCAGTCAAGCTGAATGGTGGTACCCTTCCCCAAGTCATGCTCAATCTTCCGCATCCATACGAACTCAGCATCCCTCGCGCGTTGAAAGGTAGCCTGGAGCCTATCATTTCTCTTCTTTGGTAAGTACACAGGCAGCAGGACTTGGTACTTCGTGGTGGTCAAGGCGTTGGCCGTGAGTGAGGCCTTCCAGAAGTCCAGGTGAATGATGACCGTAGCCTTCATCTTGGGGACCTCACTCTTCCACTCGATAGAAATGAGGAGCATGATCGTGAAGCTGACTTGAGCGGACAATAGGCTGACTGCAAGAGGGTCAAAGTCATTCCTCCTCAGTAGCTCCTTTGCTGCTCTCCGCCTTCCCGACCACACGATCCACAGGCACAGAATCAAAGACTGCTGCGGTTGACGAGCTCGAGTGTGGTTGCTGAAGCTCATGCTCTTCTAATTCCCTGTCTTTCAGCACGTTAACCTTTAGAGCAGAGAACTGCTATTGCAGAGAGACTTTTACAGCATCATCCAGCGCATCAAGAGACTTCTTTGGGAGATTCAGCGCCGAGGCTTGCGCAGTGACCAGCAGGCTCTTCTTGGGAGAAATTTTGGTGCTGACGGACGAGTAGCATCACCGGGAGCATTAACCTTCCCAGTTAACTCCCCCTCCCCCCCTTCCGTTGCGTCGCCCGTTAGCCATTGTGCAATGAGGAGAGCAGAGGAGCAGGCAAGCAAAACACCTGATAAACCACCTCTCCTGATCACCAATACAACCGATAGCTCTGCAATTCTATAAACTACCTTGGAGATCTTGTCCTTTGTATGTAATTCAGTGTCGTTGCTTTGTGATAAACCATTGCAATGAAACCGCGACAGAATCAGTGTCAAAGATAAGAGACCCTGCTAATCTGGCGGGTCAGGATCTAGGTACCAATCCGTAGTAGGCTGTAGAAACCAAGAGCGCTTCGATGACACCAATGCTGCACCCGTGGCATGAACCTTGATTGCCCCTACGACCAGATAAGAGTTACCGATGTTCACTGTATGAACTGAAGCGCTAGTCGAACTGAACAGTAAGGTAAGAGAAAAATCGCCATTAGGCAAGAAATTGGTTCACATTGAGGGTTCGAAGTTGATGCTGAAACCTTGGTGGAGAGTCCCATAAATCTTGTCACAAGGCAGTCCTTTTTGCATTAGAGTGTAATACTGTGACCTGACTGATGCACTCAATTCTAGTGTTGCTGGCACTGCAATGCATCATTACGAAAATATGTTATCGTGCGGAAACTTCCAGAAAGTTTTGAATCGATAAGTCGGAAATCAAGATTCGGAAAAAGGGGGGTTGGGGGGGGGGGACGGGGGGGGGGGGGGGGGGGGGGGGGGGGGTAGGGGGCTTTGCGCTATTCAGGGCGATACTCGCTAAAGGGAAAATTACACTACACCACATGTGTGGCCTAAACCATTGCCTTTACGAATCAGGGAAATTATATTCTAAACATTTTTTACCCAGAGGCATCAGTGTGACGTGACCCCTAAATTTCACCCTCACGGGTGACGATTCAAATATGGCTACCCTGATATCAATTCCCCCCAAAAACAATATCCCTGAAGGCACATTTTCCGCAAAACGCCAAGCCTGAGCCTTCTTGTGATGTTCAATGTTCACGAAATTGTAAGTCTCGGCTGTCAGGGTTGGCAAATTGAAATCATTGTTGACTTTTTCTTCTTCTTTCCGGTTTGGCGAGAAAAACAGTGATGTATTTGACGCGAGAAAATTAGATGGATAGGCTGGAGGGAGTGCATGTTGCGTGGGAGGATCTCATTAGGTCGCAAGGGGCAAGAGTGAGAGGTGTGCGAAGGGGGAGGGTGTGAGAATAGTGAGCATAGTGAGGAGCCATAGCTAGGGTTTAGCTAGCTAGGCAAGAGAGAAATGAACAAAGGAGGGGTTTCACTAGCAGCAGTTGGGATACATATAGCAAACCCTATCAGGGTTGTACTCGCTATAGAGCACCCCACTACAGGCTAGATAATAACATTCTGACAGAGGGACCAAGTGAGTGGGGTGGGGGCTATTTCGTGACAGCGGATCGTCCGCACAAGAGAAAGAGGAGAAGGGGGGGAGGAAATGGGGGGATGGGCTGCTCATGGGAGGGGTGTCGAGACTTGATCCTTGGTTGGGTGGGACGTTTGTCAATATTAGTGTCTCGTTCATTTTCAAAGAGTAATCAAACATGTTTTTTCTTATTGTTAGCGAAAAACACCTGATTACTAATAACTATGTTCACATGGCAATACGGTGTTTCAATATGGATGGTTTTTAATTCTATTTTTTCTTTCCAAATCACTTTGCAATCCGCCAGATCGTCATTTGTTTGCTTGGTTTAAGCTTATTGCTCAACAAAAATAAGAAACCGAACGTTTAGTGATTGTAACAAAAAATATATAGTGTATTTCGATAACCTAGATTGCGCGCATGGGGTCTCTGAGATGGGTGCAAGTGTAATCATGATAACGCACAATGGGGGTTATCCGGACGAAAATTCCTAGAAGCTTCGTCCCGATAATGTTGTATTCGGGGTCCACAAGACGCATACTCTGTGGCGCTGTTCTTCTGGTGCACCAGGGCAAAAAATGGCCATCGCGGGACCTTCCTTCCGCATTAGTGAACCGCTCATAATGGTTCGGTTCAGGTTGCGTGATGTCCGAAGCTGGGATCATCAATTTAACCGCGAAAGTCTGCAGAACAGCACTTTTTCTGACACTGTGCCTTTATCGCCTGTTTGTTCCACGCCATTTCCTCTCCTTGCAATTGGTCCGCACCATTGGTGCGGCCTCTCGAGGTAGAATCACTGATGCGGGGGCAAGGATGAGGTGGTCCTCGTTGCCATCAATGGGGGTGGAGATCCCACAAGTGACGAACGCCTTCTTCACGAGCTCCTCCGGGATTGCTTCCCAAGACTCATCGATCCAGCGGGGCACCAACTCCGCTGGCGACTTTTTGAGATTGCCTGAGGGACGGGGAAGGGTAGACAAGGACGAATGTGAATTTCCAGAGCGTACGCTAACACAGATTCGAAGTTACGCATGCGGATCTCATGGCTTCAACTCACAAGCCTTGGTGGTGAGGTTGATTCCCTCTTCTTCGAACCAGCCACTGAAGCGATGACGCACACCACACTTGAACGCACGGTTAATCAACAAAGAGGCTGCACTAGCGAAGACTGCTAAGACTCTGTATGACGCTGCTGTTGCGCGCTACTCCTCCCTTGCCACTGCTGCTCCCAGCCGCCTCATTACCCACCTCCGCACCAGTGACACCCGCTACCGCGCTGCGCTTCCTGCCGAGTTTTGCGCCAAGAACCCCCCCCCTCTGTACATCACCTTCTACTACCTCGTCACCCGGCTCCCTGACTCCCTTCGTCCAGTCAGGGACCACTTCCTCTCCCTTTGCCCCACCACGCTCACTGTTGACCTCCTCGAGGAGCGCCTCCTTGCAGCTGAGTAGAGTGTAGTCGCTGTAGGAGCCTCTCGTGGTGACCCTCGTGCCCCTTTCTTTGAGGGGTGCTCCCCCGTCCCCCTTTTGCCCTCTGTTGCCTCTGCTTCTGCTGTCGACCTCGTTGGCACCGAGTCGGTTGGCGCTGTGTCTGCTCCTAGTGGGAGGCGCCGCAGTGGCAGGAGCAAGGGGGGCGAGGGTTCTGGAGGAGACGGCGGGGGCGGCGGTGGTGGTGGAGGAGGCGGCGGAGGGGGTGGGGGTGGAGGTGGGGGTGGTGGCAGGAGTGGGGGCGTCGGTGGCAGTGGTGGAGGTGGAGGCGGCGGCGGCAGCGGCAGTGGGGGTGGCGGCGGCAGTGGTGCTGGTTGGGGTGGCGCTGTGCGATGGGGAGGCTTTAGTGGTGGCCAGCGCCAGCAGCAGCAGCAGCGTTCTCGTGAGACCCTGTTGCCCCAGCAGCTTCGTGAGTGGTACGCTGGGCGGGGGAAGTCTAGGAGTGCTGGTCCATGTGCTTACGTTCTTTGCACCGGCAAGCGCAGTGGGGAGACGTAAGGAGGGCCGCACGCCACGCACTGCTGTTTTGGCCGCCTGACTAACGCCTGGCATGCGCAGTTCCCAGATCCGTCGCTGGGGTGATCTGCTTAAGTCGGGGGGTTGCTATCTTTCATCTTGATTATAATGCTATCCTTGCTGCTATGCATGCTGTGTCTATTAGTGCTGAGGGTGACTGTTACCTGTGTGTTCCGCCCAACCCGGGCATTGAGGCTGCTGCTCAAGGGGCTAGTGAGTCTGCTGCTCCAGGTGCTAGTGAGTCTGCTCTCTCAGGTACCGCGTCGGCTCACGTTTTACACACTTTTGCCCTTGACTCGGGTGCTTCCCGCTCCTTCTTTCGCGACTGCACCACACTCTCGCCGCTCAATCAGCCAGTGGCAGTCTCTCTTGCTGACCCCTCTGGGGGTCCGCTCCTTGCACACTCCTCCACGGTTCTGCCGTGTCCGGCGGTCCCGTCTGGCTCTCTGTCTAGCCTCCACCTCCCCTCGTTCTCCACGAACTTGGTGAGTGGAGCTGACCTTCAGGACGCGTGGGTTGACCAGTTCACCCGTCAGCCTGGGTCGAGCCTGCAAACTCTGACCACCGTGCCTCCTCCGGTTGCTGAGTCTGGTCAGGTAGCCGCGTCGGGTCAAGTGTTTGCTACAGCGTCCCGGTCTGGTCCTGAGTCTGCCCCCTGCTCTTGTCGCCTCCTGTCTCACCAGACTCTCCTCTGGCACCACTGCCTTGGTCACCCCTCTCTGCTTCGTCTCTGAGGCATGGCCTCCCTTGTACTTGTCACTGGTCTTCCCCGGTCTCTCCCTCCCCTTCCCCCGGGTCCTGCCCCTACCTGTGTTCCTTGCGTCGAAGGGCGGCAGTGCGCCGCTCCTCACTCCTCCGAGTTCCCTCCGACGGAGGCTCCCCTGCAGACTCTTCACATGGACATGTGGGGCCCAGCCCACGTCCGTGGACAGGGTCACGAGCGCTACTTTCAGCTGGTCGTTGACAACTACTCGCGTTACACCACGGTCTTCCCCTTGCGCCGCAAGGGTGAGGTCACTAAGGTGCTGATCGACTGGATCCGCGCTGCCCGTCGTCAGCTCAGCGAGAGTTTTGGCTCGGACCTTCCTGTTCTGCGTCTGCACTCTGACAGAGGTGGAGAGTTTTCCTCCGACCTTCTATGAGCCTTCTGTCGTGCGGAGGGAATCCGCCAGACGTTCACGGTTCCGGTCTCTCCACAGCAAAATGGGTGTGAGGATCTAGGATCGAGTTCAGAAAAGAGAATGAGAATTGAGTAGAATTGAATTGAATTGAATGTCCACCTGGGTACAACACGAGGCTATATATAGGCTCGACACAAGGCCCCGTAAGCAGGTGTTACGCGAAGGTTCCGCGGGCCGTGTAGCGTCCCGAACGGATCCTTACCGAATTCGGTAGAAGGCAATTCGGTGGCAACCGAAAAGCCAGAATTCGGTGCACGCAACCTAGCTCGGTGCTATAACTATAATAAAATATAGGAAAGCACCTAGAATAGGAAATCAAGCAATTCATGCATGCATATAATTATCCTATGCTAGAAATAGCATGATAAAGTAAAGGCAAGCAAGCATAGCTGGCATAAGCCGTCGTACTCTCACACGTCCCCCCCTCAAAGCTGGGTGGCGTGAGATACACCCTGCTTGACAAGATAGTCCTTGAGAGCACTGCGTGCGTTGCCCATATCAGCTTCTGCAACCCAACTGTCCTCAGTGGGGTCGTATCCCTCCCAGCGTATCAGGAACTCGAGGGTCTTTCCGCCGCGGCACCGATGAGAGAGAACGCGCTCGATCTCGTACCCGGGTTCATCCTGCACAAGAACAGGTGGAGATGGCGGTAGCTGCCGTCCCTTGAACTGTTGGTTGGGGTCCTTGTAGGGTTTCAGTAGCTGCACATGGAAAGCATTGTGAAGCTTCCACGTATCTGGTCAGCGCAAGCGGAATGTAACTGGTGTCACCTGTGCCTCAACAAGAAAAGGACCACAGAAGCGAGGCCGGAGTTTGGATGGGAGGTGAGACAGGTTCAAGTTGCGCGTGTCAAGAAGCACCTGATCTCCGACTGCTACTGAGTGATCACGTCGCTGACGATCGGCATACTGCTTCTGGGAGGTCTGCATCGTGGTGAGTCGTCGCTGAGTCTTCTCCCATAGCTGCTTCATGGTGGTGACGAAGTCATGTGCGGCTTGGACGTGTGCCGGTGTAGTTGGCTGCTGTGGTGTGAGTGGTTCCCGTCCGTAACACAGGAAGAAAGGAGTTTTCCCTGTGGCCGCATGTGATGCGTTGTTGTAAGCGAACTCTAGGGTCGGTAACTGTGTGTCCCAGTGGCTGACGTCGTCCTTGCAAGCTGTGCGCAGTAACTGTTCAACCACTTGATTGAGTCGCTCTGTCTGTCCATCAGTCTAGGGGTGGTATGCTTAAGACATTGCAAGCTTTGTCCCCAACATTCCCATGAGCTCCTTCCAGAACTTACTGGTGAATTTTGGGTCTCTGTCTGAGATGAGTGTAGCGGGGATGCCGTGGATGGTGATGATGCGGTTGAAGAAGAGGCGAGCAGTTGCTTCAGCTGTAGCTGTGGCGTTGGTCGGTATGAAGTGACCCATTTTGAAGAACTTATCGATGACTACGAGGATGGAATCCTGCCCCTGTGAGGTCGAAGGAAGTCCGGTGATGAAGTCGAGGCTAACGACCTGCCATGGCTGCTCCGGTACGGGTAGAGGTTGAAGTAACCCTGATTTTTTCTGCTTGCTGCTCTTCATCCGCTGGCACGTGTCGCATGAGGTGACGAACTGCTACACGTCTGCTGCCATCCCGGGCCAGTAGTAATACTTCGCTATCCCTCCTAACGTCTTGTTGCTCCTGAAATTTCCCGCGTATGGTACGTCGTGAAACTCCTCCAATAGGATCTGCCGTAGCGGGGCGTAATTCGGTACCCAAATCTTTCCTGAACCCTTCCTTACAGCTAAGTCTTTCTCCCACTGTAATAGCTTCTTGGTCTGTGCTGTAGCAATCTCTGCGTCCACAGGGTACCCATGTTGGAATAGACCCTTGAGCAGAGGGTTCATCCCGTCGAGCTGGATGCCTGCTACATGTCCGGGGCGGCTCAACGCGTCTGCCTTGTTGCGTAGCCCGGCTTGTAGACGATGTCGTAGTGGAAGTGAGTTTCCAGGAAGTCCACCCACCGCACCTGTCGTCGTGAGAGTGTCGACTGTGACTTTAGGTATTTGAGACTGCAGTGGTCAGTATAGACTGTAGCCTTGGCTCCCTCTAGGTAACACCTCCACGCCTTGAAGGCTATGACTATCGCTAAGGCTTCCTTGTCATGAATGGGGTAGTTTAGTTCTGCTCCGTGTAGCTTCTTACTGAGGTAGGCGATGGGCTGCAAACCGCGTCCGTGATCCTGCATCAGTACTGCTCCGACTGCTTGGTCACTAGCGTCTGCTTCCACCACGTAGTCCTTGTCTTGATCCGGCAAGATGAGTACAGGCGCTGTAGTCAGTGCTGTCTGTAGCTGCTCCATGGCTTGCTGATGAGGGGTATCCCATTTGTAGGGCGTATCCTTTTTCAGTAGGTCGGTCAGTGGCGCTGCTATCTTAGCGTACTCAGGCACGAACCTGTTGTAGTAGTTGGCGAAGCCTAGGAACTGCTGTAACTCCTTCACGTTCTCTGGTACTTTCCACTTCTTGACGGCTTCGATCTTCCGTGGGTCCACGTGTATGCCCTTGGCACTCACCATGTGCCCGAGAAAGTGCACCTTCTTCAGGGCGAAGTCGCTCTTCGACAGCTTCACGTAGAACTTGTTTTTCCGCAGGATCTCGAACACCTTCCGTAGATGCTCCACGTGCTCCTTCATGTTCTTGGAGTAGATGAGAATGTCGTCCAGGTACACCACCACGCACTCGTCCAGCAAGGGTCGTAAGATGTGATTCATCTCCGCCTGAAACATTGCTCGTGCGTTGCAGAGTCCGAACGGCATCACCAGGTATTCGTAGGAGCCGTATCTGGTACGGAATGCCGTCTTGTGGATCGAGTTGTCCGCCATCTTGATCTGCCAATAGCCCGATCGTAGGTCCAGCTTCGAAACTACTGTTGCTCCACGCAGTTGATCGAGTAGGTCATCTATGCGCGGTATGGGATATTTGTTTTTGAGTGTCTGTTTGTTCAGTGTGCGGTATTCGATGCACATCCGTAGACTGTCGTCTGGTTTTGGAGTGAAGAGAACTGGTGCGCCGTAGGGAGAGGTGGATGGGCGGATCAGTTGTCTGTCTAGTAGATACTCTATCTGTTTTTTTATGTCTGTCAGTTCAGTCGGACTCAGTCGGTATGGTGCACGTGAGACGGGTTTCGCACCTGGCTCCTCCACGATCTCGTGCTCGTGGGTGCGTGCTGGAGGTACGCCTGCAGGTAGGTCGTCGGGCATTATATCCTTGTACTGCTCCAAGACCTCCTTCACTGCTGCAGGTAGCTCGGAACTCGGCTTCTCCTCCTCTGCTGCTGCCATAACCAGTGCTAGGTAACCCGTGTTACTCTCGTTCACCGTCTGTTTGAACCGTGCCAGTGTCGTTTCACGTACGTCCCCTGTATCCGTCTAGCTTCGCAGTGCTATCCACTTCCCATTGTTGTAGATGCACATCTTGCTGTTGACCCAATCGATCTCGGGGTTGAATCGCTTCAGGAAATCTCGCCCCAAGATAAAATCTAATCCTTTGATATTGGTGACTGGTAGCTTCGGCTTCCACCTCAATGCACCTATGTGCAGTTGCAGTGATGCTTCACCGTGGATAGGAAGCTTCGTACCGTCCACCATGGTTGCTGAAAACCGGGTCTCTTCCGCCTTCTCTCCAATTTTCTTCAATGCTCCGCGGTCACACACCGAGTGAGATGCACCACTATCCACCAGTGCCTGGAGGCGTCGCCCATTGCATAACACCTCGAGGAGTAGGGTCTCTGCTGCCCTGAGTAGCCAAAGAGGGTCTCGTTAATAGGATCATAGGGTACATCAAACTTAATACCTTCCCTTTTTCCTATACCTGACTCAGCGCTTTC